TCAACAAGGATTCAAAGGTAAAACAAAAGCAAAACCACTCAAATTTTAAATGAGGCTTTTTATCTTCAAAATTCCTTTTAGTTAAACTTTCTGTTTTGTATTTATCTCTAGACAATTATTTTAATCCTTTTACGCTAATCTTTAGACCTATAGTTACATTTGCATTGTGTTGATTAATGGTAACCATAATTTGAGCTAGGAGGGCAATTTTATTTAATACAATTAAATGTTTTGTTTTATTTTTACAGCACTATTGGTTATCTTTTTCATCTGAAACATACTGTACATTTCAGTTATGTATTTTTTAAAAAAAAAATCTCTAAGTTTTTGCTCCAGAAATAGCAAACCACAAAACTGTTTTCTCCAGTTCTCCATTTTATTTATGTGCTATTGTTGTATTATTTTTGATGTTCTAAAAAGTGGCAATCAATGAAGTCTTTTACTACTTGGCAATCTTTTACCATTGCCTCCTTCCTATTCCTTACCTAAAATGTATCTGAGGAAACAACCAAGAGGAAAAGAATGAAGACAGGATTTTAAGTGAGGGGTTAAGTTAAGCTTAGAGACAGGATTATTTACAAGGCACAGTTCTGGGCAATGCCACAATAAAATTTCTGCTGCACTGAAGGTTCCTAAGTGCACTTATGGCCTCCATAATTCTCAAATGGAAGAAGTTTGGCACAACCAGGACTCTTTCAAGAGCTGGTCGCCTGGTCAAACAGAGCAATCGGGGGAGAAGTGCCTTAGTAAGAGAAATAAGCAAGAACCCAATGGTCACTCTGACAGGACAGAGTTTTAGAAGTACAACCATTACGGAAGCCCTCCACAGATCTGGGCTTTATGGCAGAATAATTAGATGGAAGCCTCTCCTCAATGCAAAACACATAAAAGCTTGCTTAGAGTTTGTTCCTCACAGTCTGAGTGTCCTTCAAGTGCTTTTTTGCAAACTCCAAGTTTCTTTTTCTTTTTTAAACAAACTTTATTGAATATACAATTAAAATAAACAAACAAACACATACACAACATAGAAAAATAGAGAAAATAAGATAAAAGGTAATTCCATTATCGACAGTTTGTGGTTCCTTATTTGTTATCATTATTGGTGTCATATTTACCATTAAATCTTAATGTGAGTATATAGTTATTACCTCCTTTACAGTTTAATAATGTTTACTATTATATTATCTATCTTTGTTCTATCCAATGATACCAACATTCCCAGCTCTTGTAATATTCTGATGATTCTTTATCCTTAAGTGCTAGGGTCAATTTATCCATTTCTGCACAGCTTACTATTTTCTGAATAGTCATTCCCTCTGTTGGAATATCGGCTTGTTTCCAACATTGTGCAAAAGCTAATCTAGCTGCAGTAAGTATGTGTAATATTATATATTTGGCTTTTTGGGGGAGTTGGCTATTGAATATCCCTAATAGGAAGAATTCTGGCTTTAATTCAATCTGCTCAGCCGTTATTTCCTCCAACCATTTTTTGATTCTCTGCCAGTATCTTTGGGCTTCTGTGCAGGACTACCACATATGGTAGAATGTTCCGTGTTTTTTTTTACATTTCCAGCAATTCAGATTCATGTTAGGGACATCTTCGCTAATCTCGAAAGAGAGAGATGCCATCTGTAAAACATTTTATAGGCATTTTCTTTATATGTTGCTGATTTTGTGGTTTTATTATTCCTGATCCAGACCTTTTCCCATTCTATTAAGGTGATGCTACGTCCTATATTTCTACTCCAAGCTATCATATTGCCTTAGACTACTTCCTCCTCTAGTTCTATCTCTAATAGGTAGTTGTAAAATTTGGTTATATTATTTTTGTCTGAACCTAGTAAGATTTTATCTCATTGTTGTGACTGTAAATCCCAAAAGCTTTCTTATCCTGTCTATATCTATTTTGTATTTGGAGGTAAGCCCTTGTTCTTGGAGATCTTGCCATGATTTTAAAGTTCCTTGTGCATCCAGTAGGTCTTTGTATTTAATCATCTTGTTAAGATCCAAATTGTTCGGATGTATCATCGCCTCCATTGTTGAGATCCAAATCGGGATCTTTAGATAGTGTTTTTCTTTATTTTATTCCAATTAGCCAATAAAGAGTCTCTAATTACATGTCTGTGGAAATAATTCTGTTTGGTTTTCCCCATGTCCCATAAGAACGCATGGCACCCCCTCTGTAAATCATGGCCTTCTAGAAATAATATTCTTTTATTCGATAAATTTACCCATTCTTTCAGCCATAGTAAGGAGGCTGCGCTGTGGTATAGTTCCCAATTTGGGAGTGCCATACTCCCCCTGCTCTTCATATTTTACATTGCTTTTAAATTTATTCTCATTTTTTTCCCTTGTCAAATAAATTTTGCAATTATCCTATTTAGTTCCACAAAGTAGTTTTTATGTATTTTTATTGGTATTGTCTGGAACAAATAAATTTAGGAAGAATGGTCATTTTAATAGTGGCAATCCTCCCTAATAGGGAGAGTTGCAATTTAACCCATAGCTCTAGGTCTTTTTTAACCCGTTGTAGTAGTTTGTTATAGTTATTTTCCATTAATGTCTTACAATGAGCCGTCAGCCATATTCCTAAGTATTTAATTTTTTTTAACCACCTGTAATCCCATTGCCTTTTCCCATTCTGATTTCTGTTTTTCTGTTAAGTTTTTGGTTATTAATTTCATTTTTCTCTGTTAATTTTGAGTCCTGTGACTTTCCCAAATTGAACTAAGTCTTTCAACAGTTCTTTAACTACTTCAATTGGGTCGTCTATGAAAAAGACCATGTCATCCACGAATGACTGCACTTTATATTCTTCTTTTTTAATCTTTAACCCCTTTATTCCTGGGTTCTGCTTAATTTATGTAAGCAATGTGTCCAAAGATAGTATGAAGAGCAGGGGAGATAATGGACATCCCTGCCTAACTCCTTTCTTTATTTTTATTGAGCGCGTATATTCTCCATTAATTATGATATTCGCCTTTTGTGAGGTGTAAATTGTGGTTACAATGTTTTCAAATTTAGTGCCTAATTCCTTATGTAAATTTGTTGGATTAGGAATTGCCAGTTTAAATTGTTGAAGGCCTTCTGCGCATCCAAGAATACAAGGGCTATTTGTTTTTCCAGATGGGCTTCATAGTATTTAAAAACATTTACACTATTCTTAGATTGTTCCTAATTTGTCTGTTGGGGAGAAATCCATTTTGGTCTTTATGTATATATTCATTCAAAATTCTTTTTAGTCTATTTGCTATAATAGTAGCAAATATTTTATAATCAGTATTTAACAAAGAAATTGGTCTATAGTTTTGTATGAGTCAAGGATCTGAATCTTCCTTCGGAATCAGCAAAATCAATGTCTCCCTCATGAATCCGGAATTTTAGCTGCAAGTAAAACCTCATCATATACTTCCACCAGGAGGGGTCCTATTTGTTCTCCTATTGCCTTGTAGAGTTCCCCTGGGATCCCATCAGGTCCCAGAAACTCCAAGTTTCTTGAAGATTGGAATCACATCAGCTCTTTTCCAGTTCTAGAAAAGTCTTAAGAGCTAAGGCTAGGAATTCCAATTGCCAATCAAGTTTGAGATATCAACTCCTTCATTTCCCTTTTTTTGTGCAGTGGGTCAAGAGAGTTTTTATTACTTATCAAGGATCTTTCAAAGCTCAGTCAAGAGAATACTTTCCTACGGTTCAGATGGACAAGCATAGATTGATTTACAATATTTTCTCCTGAAGATGGCAGAAGTGAGGACAATTAAAGGAAAATTCAAAATGCTTTCTGTCTATCCAGACACATTTTTCTTTGCATATGCTTGACCAGAAGTGCAAGCTGGAGGTGGTATCACTTCAGAATAAATAACAGCTATGAGACCTAAGACTTAATAACTTACAATTATGATGCATGATTGTCCAGCACTTAATTTCTAATTAGCTGACTTCTTGAAGCATGAGAGGAAAATGGAATGAATGTAATGCTATAGTCATAAACCAAATATCATCAATATCATCACCACCATCATACAATAGAATAGGAATTAATAATGTTTTAATAGCTTTTTTTAATATAATATTCTTCATATGATTTAGGATTGCCAAAAGAAAATGGTTGAAAATTAAGTTGGATAGAAATTCCGGATATTGCAATCCCAACACATATACAGAGTCTGATTGTGGAAGATGCACATAAAGGTAGACTTTATTTCTTTAAGAACAATTATTTCATACTGAAATGTTATGTGTATATAAATAAAATTCAACATAAAAAAGCTATAATGAGCCCCACACTTTAGGTAGTACAGTACATGATTTCACAGTTCATATATATCTTCTTAAATTACAAACTATTAAGTCACACTAAGCTAACGCCAAACAAATCACAGTACATGAACTAAGTGAAAGAAATCAATGAGAGAGGATCATCAAGTTACTTAATTAATGATGTAATATTGGTAGTAGTAAAAGAAAAGAATGGAAAATGAATCAAAATAAAACATGACTAGTTAATTGGATATTTGGAGTGGAACAGGGCAACACTTTTTAGTTAAGTAATTTTTAATCATTTGCAAGACAGCATAGTGTATGAAACATAATTTCTAATTCCAGGTGTGAATGAATGGACTAAATCAGAAAATGTCTGGGAATTTGTAGATTATTGGAAGAATTGATCTGAAGGAGTAGACACACACACACACACACAAACACAGTGTATGAGTGGTTATGTAGATTTGAATAATAAAGTTCTATGTTCTTGCTGCACAGAGAATATCTAAATTATTCAATAAATGCTTGTATTCTAAAAATTAAATTAAATTATTTTTTTTGCATGTGTATTGCCTGCATTTTTACATCAAAATTTAGGAAGGTCTAAATGCAGTTCTTCTCAGAGAACATTCCTCAGGTGGCATTGTTTAAACTATGATTTCATTAAATACAACCCTCTATTTAATAGAAATATCAATACAGCAAAATTTCAATTTATGCATTCAAATTAATATAATTACCTTGCCAACAGGCACCAACAGTGAGTTGCATTGCTATGTGTGATGGATGAATAGGCCAGTCATTAGTTACAAGGTAAGGTTCATATGTTGTACCATCCATATACAAGGTAGCTACTGGGAACTCAACGTTGACAACATAATAGTGCCATTCTTTATCACAGATCTAAAGAACAAAAGAAAAGGAAAGAATAAAGTTTGGAAGATGATGAAGCAAAACAAATGAATATTGCTATATTTTAAACTTTAATGATCCTGTTACACTTTTATGGATATAGCATACAATACTTATTTCAGAATTCCCTTTTGCATAAAAAGTGTAAAAATAATACACACAAGATTTGATTAAGTACTGTGTGATTTAGCCACATACTGTATGCATGTTTAATTTTTTTCCAAGTATATGCTGTTATAAAATACATTTCAGCAACTGGAAGAAATAACTAGGTAGATTTGTTCCTAGGGATTTTATTAGGATTCACTTCCTATGCAGAATGAACACCAATAGGGAAGAAGAAAAGCTCCATCTCTTCCTCTCCTTCTCAAATATTCATCCATAAATATTAGAATAGTTTTCTCAGGGGTAATAATATCTATATTAAAGAGAAGGTATAATTTCAATCGACAAGCTAGGGAATAAACAACAGTACAATCATCATTTCTCTACTACAACATGAAGGCTCACTATAATTTTCTTCACAATTTGGCAATAGCTGGTTACCTAAAGAATCTATTCAGATAGATTTTGATATCTATTTGTTTAAAATGCTATAAAATTGCAAGCAGAAGCATAATTTTTAAAAAAGCTGTCACTATCTGTAAGCTAATAATTATAACCTACTAATTATTACTGTAGCTACTGACTCTACTCCATCAATTACAGGCTGTAGTTAAAATATTTAGTCCAGTTCTGGGCATGTATTTTAGGATGGATGTTATCACACTTCAGAATATCCAGAGGAAAGAAACTAATATCATAAGGTTTTGGAAAGGAGAAATTACAAAGAATGGGCATGTATCAAGCTACCATATAGAATGTGGAGTAGAATAACTTAAGAGTTGTTTCAAGTGACAAGGCAAAATAGAAGGATATCAAAATGACTAACATGCAGATTTCAGAAAAAAACTAGATATCAGAAAAAATTCTTAACAGCAAGATCTGCTAGACTTTTTTACTAAACTAAACAGATGCCAGATTTGTCAGAGATAATATAGTTGAGGATTCCTGCACCATATAGGGAGTTGGTCTGAAGGATCTCTGAAGTCCCTTTGAAACTATATATTCCATGATTCTTTTAAACAGCATCTCATTTCACCAGATAATACAGTTTTCATCTAAGACCAGTCATCTGAGATAAAACACCTTAATGCAAGATCTAGTTCAATGGTTCTTGTTTGTTTTTGTTTTACTTATATTGGTATAGATCCCTGTGCTGTACACATATTGCTAGAGTTTTATGTAGTTGATTCTCTTCACTGAAATGGTTATTACAGAAAAATTAAAATGTATGAATACTATGTATGGCACTTCAGTTCCAGAAACTTGATTCAAACACTCTTTTGAAATAAATCATTACAGTTAGTCCTAAAGTGAGGACTAGAATTTCTGTCATTAAATGATGCAGTTGCAAGGAATGATGTTACATCAACACTTGGCACTCCTGGCTGCTGTCTTACCCTAATGCATAGGTCATTGACCAAAGATTTCATTTGACAATGACATCAGAAGAAGTGAGAGGTTCAAGCCAACAAATCAGAGCTGTTGGTGAGAGTTATGGGCAGGTAAGTGCCATAGGCACATGTTATTGAGCATAGGCAGGTGTGTGGATCTTTGCAGCCTATGCTATGGAGTGTGGGCAGGTGTACAAATGCCAATGGCAAGCACAATGGTGCATGGGTGGATCATTAAAAAAGTTGTGAGAGCAGGAGCAATTTGCAAGTACTCCTAGTTTTCCCACTGAATTTTCTTGTGCATAATTGTAATCCAGCTGCTAAGTGACTGAGTGTGATTATATGATCACAGAGACATAGATAGGTAAGAGATCCCTTTTGTTCAGTGCCACTGCAGAATGTTTGCTGAATGAGTTGTCATAATCCAAGGACTATTTGTAAACTGGACACGTTTCCTGCGGAAATATCAAGTTGGAACAGCAATTTGGATCTCTTTGATTCAAATATTGAAACAGGGCTTTGAATTAAATAGTCTGCCCAAATTAAATCAGTATTATAATTCAAGCCTGTATCCGCATCATAATTTAAGTCATGGGGAAGAGGAAATAAATATTCTGAATAGACCACTAGAATTTATGTCGAGACAATGCCAGTGTCAATGTCAAATCACTTATAAAAGCCTAAAAAGGAATATTTGCAAGTTGTCTCACATTTGCAGAAGTTGGGCAATCATAATTTTAGAAAGCTTATGTTGATACTAAGTTGTTGATGCCAACATGTGAAGTATAGCATATATAAATCAAACTTTTTTCTACAATATCTATGTCTATAGCAGTGACAGCAAACCTATGGCATGCGTGCTGGAAGTGGCATGCAGAGCCATTTCTGCTGGCATGCAAGAGGTCACCCAGAAGAACCCCACTGCGCATACGTGCGTGCCCTCCGCCAGCCAGCTGATTGTTGGGTACCTGCCGTGCATGCGCAGGAGGAGATATGTATGTGGGGGATACATGCACATATGCAGAGGTGTGCAGTGTGGAGTGTCTGTACATGCATGTGCAGAGGCATGTGGTAAATGCACAGGGGTTGCACGCATATGCACAGAGGGCGGGGGAATCACACATGCATTGCATCATAGGTGCATGCATGCAAGCACGCATGTATGCACTGGCACACACTTTTGGCATGCAATGTGGAAAAGGTTAGCCATCACTGGTCTATACCCTCTACATGCTATATGTCAGTGTAATGATGACTTAATAGCTGAGCTGCTGCTGTAATGTTGTAATACTGTAATGCTATAAAGATGATGCAATGATGAGGTTATTAAGAGGCTGTACTATAAGAGAGGCCCGGTATATTTCTCTCTCCGTGTGTGGTATGTGCTTCTGTGCTGCTGTAACTGATTTCTGATTGATTGTTTGACCTTTGCCCAGTACATATATGTATATTCTTTTGTAGAGATAAACCTGTTTATTATTACAAACCTCTGTGTACTGTATTTTCTTCTGGATTGTCTCACCTACTCACACTGTGTGCACTCTGACACTATACTTCAATTTTCAAAATTATCCCATTAGTTTCAGGAATCTGAATGTCATTAAGGAAACTGCCTTGTGTATTTGCTATGTCAGAGACTTTTCATTAAGAATCCCAGGCAGGTTGATAGTTTTACCCTACCTTCAAACAATTGGCTATGGCAAATTAAGAAAGTGTTGAATCATCACAATAATGATGTTACATCTGTAAGTAAATAACAAACCTCAGAGAGCACTAAACAATACAGTTCAACCTTGAAGTACATCTATTTTCTTCTATTAAAACTCTGGATAGTTGAAAGGACTAATTCTGGAGCACAGAAACAACTGATTATTATTCATGATGGTAGACACATAAATATTTTCTCTTGCTGTCACTCACACATCACTGCACATACAGAAAGCGAATCAAGGGCAATGGTTGACATGTTGGGCTTGAAACTGAAAAAGCATGGGTTTCAGTTTTCTCTAAGGCACGGAAGCTGGTTGGGTGACTTTGAGGCAGTCACTCTTTTTCAGCCCAACTAAATTAACAGGCGGTTTCTATTGGAAAATAAGAGAAGGGATCATTATGGACATTGCCACTAGTTGTACAAAATATATAAATCATACGTACATGTATATACATACTCAGATACACAGACATGCATGCAAACACACACAATGTGCGTGCACACACACACACAAACTTGTAGGTCTGTTTTAAAACATACAGAGAGTTTAATGCTGGTATGGAACAAACTGTCAGTGGGTGAGGTTAGCTGAATTTGCCATCTGTTTATCCTTTTGTAATTATTGTATTCTGTTTTTATTTTATTGATATTAGTGTACATCGTCCAGAGTTAGTTGGAATCTGGGCAGTAATCAATAAACTGTATAAAATTAAACTTGCTTCATTGGAACTGGATTTTGAAAGAATGCAGTTAGGCTGCTGGATTATTGAAGGTAATATTGGAGAAGATGAATGAAAGTTCGCTAATGTGATGAGGATGTGTGGGGGATAATATACATAGGACTAAAAGATGAGAGCAGGATTGAAGAAGCATTGAGAATGGAAGAAAGGAATTCTTGATATGAATCAAAGATTTGAGATGTGATTGGCAATGAATCCGACTGTCAATGAAGGAGTAAAAGCTAGCATTTGGCAGGCCAATGTTTGTAGTAGTGAAGGCAGTGAGGAGGTAAAGGTGACTCTGTTACCTTTATTACTGTAGCTAATGCCACTTTTGTTGCTGCAGCTGTAACTGGACTGTGGAAGGCCAGAACAAGTAGAAGTAGCACTGGTTATTGTCTGTTTATTCAGGGCTAGCAGAGAGTGGTGCATATTAATGCTAAATTGTCATTGCTGGAGTGCTGCTGATACTATGGAAACTGGAGACAAGCAACTGGGGACAAGCTATTCGTCTCTAGCTCAACTGACATACATTATCATAAGTTGGACCTGTGTTTTATTTTGGAGCAATGGTGATGAAATATATTGTCACCTGCCCTTTGCCATGTTAGCTTACTTTCTAGATTACATTTGCTTTGTCAGTATCCTAGACCTCTGCAAAGGTGACAGTGTGATTAAAATAGTTTTCCCCAGTCACCTAATGGATCTTGTTGGTTTTCAGCGAGCACTTGAGATTTATTTCAGTGATCTGGCAGGCAATTTCTTCCTGTGCTTTCTAGAATATGGAGATTGAATGGCCTTGTTTTCTGTGTTGATTTCTGATGATACTAATCAATACAGGAAAGAACACTTTTCATTCATTATTTCCCCTTTTCCAAATTCATGCAGTTAATTTCTTAGCTCAAAAAATACATCAAAAGTGAGTATATGTGAACAGTCTCAAAATGTGAATTAGCTAATGTCTAGGCTATATGAATGTTCGTGTTCATTTTTAAAAGAAAAATCACAAATTGATAGAGAAATTGATAGAAACTGACAGATTAATTTATCCATTGAAACAAGTAT